TCTCTCTCTCTCTCTTTGTTATTTCTCTCTCTCTCTCTCTTTATTTCTCTCTCTCTCTCTCTCTTTGTTATTTCTCTCTCTCTCTGATTTCTCTCTCTCTTTCTTTGATTTCTCTCTCTCTCTCTTTGTTATTTTCTCTCTCTCTCTTTGTTGATTTCTCTCTCTCTCTCTTTGTTATTTCTCTCTCTCTCTTTGTTATTTCTCTCTCTCTCTTTGTTATTTCTCTCTCTCTCTCTTTTTATTTCTTCTCTCTCTCTCTCTTTGTTACTTCTCTCTCTCTCTCTCTCTTTGTTACTTCTCTCTCTCTCTCTCTTTTTTTCTTCTCTCTCTTTGTTACTTCTCTCTCTTTGTTACTTCTCTCTCTCTGTTACTTCCCTCTCTCTCTGTTACTTCTCTCTCTCTCTCTGTTACTTCTCTCTTTCTCTCTGTTACTTCTCTCTCTCTCTCTCTGTTCTCTCTCTCTCTCTCTCTCTGTTCTCTCTCTCTCTCTCTCTCTGTTCTCTCTCTCTCTCTGTTCTCTCTCTCTCTCTCTCTCTGTTACTTCTCTCTCTCTCTCTGTTTCTCTCTCTCTCTCTATCTCTGTTACTTCTCTCTCTTTTTCGTATTTTTATTTTAACGTTTTCAAAGCAATTAAATATATGTGAGCAACCTAATTTCTTTCTTTTTATAACTTTGATATACAAATTTAACAGAAGTTACTTAAATCTCGTCTCACATTTTAGTGCGACGCATATAAATGGAATTATTTTACTTCACACACATCTCTAGCCGTCAGGAATATTTAACCTGGCCGCCTTAAACCGACTTTAAATATGTCTTTACGTCGCTATTAGCAAAATTATTAATTTATTTTTCTACCTTCGTAGATTTCTTTTCGTGCCTCACAATTTTTTTTCGTGCCACACAAAAATTTCAGTTGCAATTTCAAATCTGACTTTTTTAAAACTCAATCAATAGTAAGATTTTTTTTTTTTTTTACATGTCTATTTTTTTTTCGAATTAATTGTTTGTTTATAATTTTCAATAATTAAGACAATTGTTATCGCTAATATATAACCAACCTATTTATAGCCTTATTTTTATTTTCCCATAAATAGAACGTCGTGGCTATTGCTAGATCAAGTGACAACAAGTTTTATCAAATTACTATTGCGATGAGCATCGCATTATAAGGCACTTTGATGTAATTTTCAGGGTTCCATTTATTATAGGCGCAACACTTTTTATCTCTTAGAACTTTTATAGCTCTCGAGCAACAACTTGATTCTCATCACCTTTTTATACTCTTTCATTCTAACGTAGTTTCCCCGAAAAAATTATTTCATTACTTGATTTGTTTTCTACGGTTTATCAAATTTTTACAGGTTATTTAAAACTAGGAAATATGTTTTCATCGTAAAATTTGTTTGTTTATGTCATTTTTCTTTTTTTAAAAATAATAATGGTTTCGTGATTCAAGCCTTACTAATTAACCGTAGATGGGAGGAGAAGTGGATTCATATCTTTCTCAAGGGTGTTTGATCATAAGTGAATGTAACGACCCCAACGAGAATTGGAACTCTGTTCTCCGATTAACAATTCCGAGCCATTATCCATTACACCATCCGCACATCCAAGATTACAGCACTTCGTATTCCCAAGCAGTCACCTCTCTAGCAAAAAAGTTAGGTTTGACGGTTATCTTGAAATGTTACGATGCATTTTGAAAGATGATACTATGTTGGAAGGCATATGAGGCCCTCGCCCTTATTAACGTTTCACATTCATGTATTTATAGAGTTAGACTGTAGCGGTTTATTTTGTTTTACGGTATATCAACCTCAATGGGTTATTTAATGCCGACAAGATTTTTATTGCTGCTAATATTTTTTTTAAATGTATTGTTGGCAATTTTTTTTTTTTTCTCAAAAATGTATTGTTGGTAAAAAAAAAAAAAAAATTGAAAAAAGTATTGCTGGTATTAAAATCTATTTTTATACTTTCATAGTGTTTTGACCCCTTTTGGGAGGGGTGGGCTATTTGCCCATAGCTGGGACCCTGACACGTTTTACGAACCCGGGTCAGGATGGACCTGGCAACACCAGCAATTAACAGGTGGTGCTTCTCAAAACTGTCTGATCAAAGGCCTTGCTGTCAGATGTAGTTTATCGTCTTACTCAGGACGTCCATCCGTTTTAACCAACCACCCACCCCCCGCAGAGATGCAGTCGGCGTATTCTACAGCCCCAGCAGACAGGGCGGTGGTGTTAGTAATTAACCAGAGTCAAAATTATAAATACTCATGGAAGAATTGTGGTAAAATGTAACAATGTGATTTATTTACATTTTTACAACAACTCAGGCTGATTTTGTTTAGCGGCATATCAATATGTCTATGGGTCATTTAATGCCGAAATCTAAATATTTTGTAAAGTAATTTTATGCTTTCAGAGAAATTTGTTAGACATTTGTGCATCATAAAATGCGTAGTTAGCAATTTTTTTCCGGTAATTTCACTAAAATATATTGTTTTTTTTTAGTGGGGGTCAATTAAAATGTTAATTTTACTATAAAAATGTATTTTTATATGCTTTTTTTTATTGATTGTCATTTTGCTATAAAAATGTACTGTCGATTTTTGTTTCGTGGAGGTGGGGGGTCACAATTTTCCTATAGCTGGGACCCTAACAGATCGTACCACCCGGGTCAGAGTAAACCTGGGAACGGTATTATTTAAGAGGTGTTTCCACGCTCATCAAAATCTCCAGTCTCCTGATTAGAGGCCTTGCTACCGGATGTAGTTTATCGTCATACCCAGAACGATTTTTACAACGAATTTTTTGCATATTAGTAAGTTGTTGTTTTTTTTTTCTGCGCACATTTCTTAAAAATGGTTTGGTGTAAAGAAAGTACATGCATAAAAGTCATTCGTCATAGTTTACAGGGGAAACAAAACTACAAGCATACTAACTTAGCTGGTATGTATTTTTATTAGTCGATGACAATTGTGATCTCTTGTCGCCTCGCACATTTGCTTGGGTGAAGGGGAGTAGATTTTTCTAGACGAGTAGGCATTCTCAGTTGTTATTTATTAAGCTTAACTTACTTTTGACACCAAACTCACTTCTGAATTGATATGGTCAACTAAATTAAATCGTTAACCATTACTCCACGTAGAAGCAAACACGCTTTCTTTCTTTTTCTCTCTCTTTTTTTTTTTTTTTTTTTTTTTTTAACTACCAACGACCTGTTTCAAACTGTTACCTGTTTACAGGAGATACAAGCTATAAGATTTTAACAAATCAGCAACTATTGGTTGAAAATTGTCCTTTCATACTTTGTGATATGTTTTACGACGTCCGCTAAGTTTTGATCTTATTAAAGATTTTATTTTTGACGGTTTTTTACTTGAGTCTACCGTTTATAGTTTGAAGGTATTCTATATTTATTTTATAGATACGTGCTCAATATCAAGGATAGAGCGTATGTAAATATAACAGTGAACATTGTGGCGGTCAGCATCGAGCGATAACAGTGCCCACTTATATATTTTATGTACTACACTATAGTTTCCGCCAAAATTACAATGATTTCATTACAATTTCTAATTACTTTCTTACAAGTTAATCGGTTTCCTAAATATTAAAGATTATTTATATTAGGACTAATGTCCTCATCTTTGTTGCAATTATTTTTTTTAACTTTTTGTTTTACTAATGTTCACCCAATACAAGGCCCAAGAGCCACTCAAGGCAGAGGGTTACTGTGTTGACTTATATTAACGTAGGAAAGGACACGCGTTATGTATATATAGCTGAATCAGGCTTGAGAATGAAACGGAACCCCAGTCCTAAACAGAAAACAATAGATAAACTTTTACTCCTGTTCAAAAGACTGAGGAGATATGTGAACCTATTAAATCCCCAAATTTCGGCCGTTGTGCTCTACGGCCTCCTTCAGGTATGTGTCTATCCAGATAACTCTCATGGAATTTTGAATTGAATCTATTATTTAATCTACGGGAAAGATTGTTCGTGTTCTCCTATGTCCAGGGATAACTTGTTCTTTTTAGGTACTATTCTGTTGGTGCACGCATTTTATTTATTTATTTTGCAATGATATTCAGCCTGTAAAAGAACCAAAAGCCACTCGAGGTATAGGATTGGATAAGGAAAAGAGTTTCGAAAGAACCAGAACCCCCAATCCTAAACGGGACACTAAACCTTTACTCCTGTTCAAAAGACCGGAGAGGAGTATCAACCGGGCGATAAGCGAATCTATCTACCGCTATTGAGAAAAGAAAAAGTAATTTAATAGTAAATAAAAGTTTAGAGTTTCAGGCGGAGACGTTGGAAGTATAGTCTGAATCGATACTACCCTACCCAGGGATTGAACTCACAGTTACTATGCAACTAAACATACAAACCAACACTTCAGCTCACGAAGACATTTCCTCGTAATGTAAATAATAACTTCGCATTCCAGAAATTCACAAACAAATAAAATATCATTGTTTGAAATGCTGTTACCCAGGGGTTGTTGCTAGACAGGGAAACTAACTGTCGCGACGCAGATGTCCATTTCATTTTCATTCAAACAGTGCGTGTGTGTACATATATCTTAATCAAATGAAAGTCCAAAGATATTTCTACAACATTGAAAAAAAATTAAAATCTTAAAAAAAAAATGTTTTATATATCACCGAATAATTTCCGAAAAGTTCAATAAAATTTTATAATTATCTCGTATTTTTTTTTCTTTTAATCCATAAAAACATCTTTTTTCTTTTAATCCATAAAAACATCTTTTTTCTTATCAGCAACTGTATGATTTTATTGTCAGTCCAGGGTAGGGGCTGTTCAGACTGAATTGAAGGGAAAAGTATTATTCCAATGTGTGATTTCAAACGGAGTCAAATTGCCTGTGAATGTGTGCTTACGTGTACATTACATAGCACAAGCACACGTCACTTACTCACTCACAACACAGACATACACATATATATTACATACGCACAGGGC